ATATATATATATATATATTGGCCTTTACTATAAATTACCATAGTATTTTAAATGTGTAACACCTGGTTTTATTGGATTTTTAGTTTTTGCTGTTATATACTATAATTTGTTTCTGTTTAGTAAAGAACTGGACTGAACATTTATGCCTCATATGTTTCACTGACAGTTTTATTGATCGCTAAGATGTGATTGACTTGGATTTAAGTCGCTTCCATTTAAAAATGAAAATTGCAAAAAGCTTAGATGTATTTTTTTATTGCAAATGCCACAAAAATCACCCTGCACAGCTAAAATGTTGAGTTTGTAACAACAGTAAACGTGTTTGTGGCAAGGTCTGGTTTTGTGGTGACTGTACTTTATAATTCAATTTATATAATTCTAATTCAAGTGATGAAATATTTTGAAATTCTAACAGTAAACAGCTACTGTAAGCTCACACCTGCTTGGTATAAATGCGTGAAAATGATTTAGTTGAAAATATCCATTAGAAACTTAAAAGTAATCAAAAAGCAATTAGTTGTAATCAGTTACTTTACTTTTATAAAGTAACTGAAAAGGTACACTACATATTACGTTTTAAATAGGGTAATTTGTAATCTGTAATCTATTACTATTCCAAATTAACCTCCCCAACACTGGCGATAATGGAAACTATTTAGAATGCATTGCGTAAATAAATAAATAAATAAATAAACAAACAAATAAATAAATAAATAAATAAATAAATAAATATTTTTTGAAGTATCTTCAAGTAGAAAACAGTGTTCTGAAATTATAATATTTCAAAATTTTACTACTTTAACTTTTTGCTGGCAAATGTAGGCTTAGTGAACATAAGAGGCATTAAATGTCATCAGCCCCAAAGGTTTGTACATTGATGTAAATGTTTGTGTATGTGATTAATTTAGGGTGATCGCGGAGAGATGGGTTTGCCGGGACCTCCAGGAGAGAAAGGATCTACGGTGCGCCATGCTTACACGCACAAACTCTGTGCATAAATTCTCAGTGGGGATTTCCTCCCTCAAACTAGAAATGCTGTTTAAAACAGGAAGCTCAACTGTCCATCAAAGTTAGAAAGCCAACTTCCTGCCAGTTGTCAGCTCATTTTGAGCGTCTGGAGTATTTGTGCATTTCTGGAATAATAATAATGTAATTTGTGGATACAAAGTGGGTCACAAACATACAAAACTAACCATTAAGACTAGAGATGCACTAATATATTGGCCAGCAGTATTTATCAGCCTATGTTGGATTTATTAAAAGCTATATCATTTATGTAGAAATGAGTGAATGATCAAAACGACTCTTGCACCAAGCTGAAACTACCAAAAGACTATCGCGCCGCATCTTGCGCCACACTGCGCCGGGTGTATGATAGGGCCCAAAATGTCAACATCTCACGCTGTGCTAAAAGCCAGAATGAACGAGTGGGTTTTAAGAAGAGATTTAAAAACAGTAATGAAAGAGGCTTGTCTAATATACTGTACAACGGCAACTCATTCCACAATTTTGGTGCAGCCACAGCAAAAGTTTCATCCCTTCTGATCTTTCGACTTTCTGGTCGGCTGACCTGAGCGAACGAGAAGGTGTGTAAGGACAGAGAAGCTCAGAGAGGTAAAAGGCTGCAGTACCATTTAGACACTTAAAAACAAATGAAAGTAACTTTAAAATGGTTCCTGAAATGCACAGGCAGCCGGTGAAGAGAAGATAAAATCGGGTGATGTGCTTGTATTTGCGTGTGCCAGTTAAAAGACGTGCAGCTGCATTCTGAACAAGTTGCAGTCGAGAAATAGAAGACTCACCCCAAAATAAAGGGCATTGCAGTAGTCCAAGCGGGAGGTTATATGGCGAAAGCTCCAGCTTTATTTGTTCATTCATTCAACATTCATAGGCTTAGTCCCTTTATTAATCCGGGGTCGCCACAGAGGAATGAACCGCCAACTTATCCAGCTAGTTTTTACGCAGCGGATGCCCTTCCAGCCGCAACCCATCTCTGGGAAACATCCACACACATTCACACTCATGCACTACGGACAATTTAGCCTACCCAATTCACCTGTACCACATCTCTTTGGACTGTGGGGGAAACCAGAGCACCTGGAGGAAACCCACGCGAAGGCAGGAAGAACATGCAAACTCCACACAGAAATGCCAACTGAGCCGAGGTTGGAACCAGTGACCTTCTTGCTGTGAGGCGACAGCACTACCTACTGCGCTACTGCCTCGCCCGCTTTATTAGTTAATTTTATTAAATAACCATGTTCAATGTCAAATAAAAGCGAATGTTTTTAAATGCTAATCTCCTTTGATGTTTATAATATTGTATATATATTTTTTTACATTAACTCCTCTCAAAATGCTGGACAGTTCAATGTAAAATAGAGACCATTCATTTATTTTTCTTCAGCTTAGTCCTTTTATTCATCAGGGGTCGCCACAGTGGAATAAACTGCCAACTTATTAAGCATATGTTTTACACAGCGGAAGCCCTTTCAGCTGCAACCCATCACTGGGAAACTCCCATACACACATTCATTCACACACACACACATACACTACAGACAATTTAGCTTATTCAGTTCACCTATAGCGCATGTGTTTGAACTGTGGGGGAAACCGGAGCACCCGGAGGAAACCCACACCAACACGGGGAGAACATGCAAGCTCCACACTGAAATGCCAACTGACCCAGCCAGGGCTCGAACCAGCGACCTTCTTTTTGTGAGGTGACAGCGCTACCCACTGCGCTACTGCGGCGCACATTCCAGTACCAATACTGGTCAATTGCAAACAGTATTTTGCAGTACTAATAAGTTATTTTCTCCATTAAATGAATGGCTCTGGCAACATGGTGGCGCAGTGGGTAGCACTGTCACCTCACAGCACAACAAGAAGGTCGCTGGGGTATGATGGGTAAGTTGTTGATTCATTCTGCTGTGGCGACCCCAGATTAATAAAGGGACTAAGCCGAAAAGAAAATGAATGAATGGTACTGAAATGTGTCTGTTTTTTGGTTTAAGTCAGTATCAGTCAAACATTACCTATTGGTGTATCCCTAAATTGAAACTATAGCAATATTTCTAAAGGTATAAATATGATAATTGCAGTTTATCTTATAGCAGATATAAAAACCCTTTATGTGCTGTCTGAAATGTTCTTCTCGAACAAGCCTTTTTCATAGCCTCCTGTGTCTACAGTGCATCCTAAAAGTATTCATAGTGCTTCACTTTTTTATGCTACAGCCTTATTCCAAAAATTATTAAATTCATTTATTTCCTTAAAATTCTACACACAATACCCCATAATGACATTGTGGAAAAAATGTTTTTTTAATTGTTGCAAATTTATTAAAAATAAAAAACCTGAAAAATCACATGTGCATCAGTATTCACAGCCTCTGCTGTGCAGCTCTAACTTGAGCTCAGGTACATTCTGTTTCCGCTGATCATTCTTAAAATGTTTTAGCAGCTTCATTGGAGTTCAACTGTGGTCAATTTAGTTGATTGAACAGGATTTGAAAAGGTATACACCTGTCTATATAAGGTCCCAGGGTTGACAGTGCATGTCAAAGCACAAACCAAGCATGAAGACAAAGGAATTGTCTGTAGACTTCCGAGATAAGATTGTCTCGAGGCACAAGGCTGGGGAAGGTTACAGAAACATTTCTGCTGCTCTGAAAGTTCCAATGAGCACAGCAGCCTCCATCATACGTAAGTGGAAGATGCTTGGAACCATCAGGTCTCTTCTTAGAGCTGGCCGGCAATCTAAGTTAAGTGATCGAGAGAGAAGGGTCTTAGTCAGGGAGTTGATCAATAACCCGATGGTCAATCTGTCTGAGCTCCAGCGCTCATCTGTGGAAAGAGGAGATACTTACAGAAGGACAACCATCTGTGTAGCAATCCATCAATCAGGCCTGTATGGTAGAGTGGCCAGACGGAAGACTGGAAATTCCCCACCTCAAATTTGCCAAAAGGAACATGAAGGACTCTCAGACCATAAGAAACTAAATTCGCTGGTCTGATGAGACTAAAATTTAACTCTTTGGAGTAAATGCCAGGCGTTACATTTAGAGAAAACCAGCCACCTCTCATGACCAGGCTAATACCATCCCTACAGTGAAGCATGGTGGTGGCAGCATCATGCTGTGGGAATGTATTTTAGCAGCAGGAACTGGAAGACTAATCAGGATAGAGGGAAAGATGAATGCAGCAATGTACAGAGACATCCTGAATGAAAACCTGCTTCAGAGTGCTCTTGGCCTCAGACTGGGGCGACGGTTCATCTTCCAGCAGGACAACGACCCAAAGCACACAGCCGAAATATCAATGGAGTGGCTTCACAACTACTCGGTGAATGTCCTTGAGTGGCCCAGCCAGAGCCCAGACCTAAATCCTATTTAACATCCCTGGAGAGATCTGATAATGGCTGTACACCGTCGCTTCTCATACAACCTGATAGAGCTTGAGAGGTACTGCAAAGAGGAATGGGCAAAAACTCCCAAAGACAGGTGTGCCAAGCTTGAGGCATCATATTCAAAAAGACTTGAGGCTGTAATCGCTGCCAAAGGTGCATCAACAAAGTATTGAGAAAAGGCTGTGAATACTGATGTACATGTGATTCTTCAGCTTTTTATTTTTAATAAATCTGCAACAATTTCAAAAACTCCTTTTTCTCATTGTCATTATCTGGTATTTTGTGAAGACTTTTGAGGAAATGAATGAATTTAATCCATTTTGCAATACGGCTGTAACATAATGAGTGTGGAAATAAAGAAGCTAGTTGAATACTTTCCGGATACTTTGAATGTTCAGTTATTGCACTTTAGAGGCAATGAAAAGAAGAGAAATTAAAAGTGAAATTACTAAACCTACACAGACACACAGAACATTTCAGACAGCACTTTTGCTTCTTTTGCATCTGTACCTGTCATATGTTGTAGTTTGTATACACTAGAGGTGTGAACCTATACTGGTCTCACGGTTCGGTTCGGTTACGATTATCATGCCATCGATTCAGTTCAATTCGATATCTCGGTGCATCACGGTGCATTGACGATGCTTTCCATATATAGTGTTATATTTTAGGGGGGGAGGCTATAACATGCTGTCTATATAAACACACAGACACACAGCAACACACTGTCTCTCATTCAAACACATTCACAAACATAGACAGCATCAAACAAACACACACACGTACACACACACACAAACAAACACACTTAAGCCCTTGCAACAGGGAGAGCTCGCGCTGAGCGGAGCAGAAAAACTATAAAATCGAAAAAAATAAGCACTTTTCTTACAGAGAGCTCCTCTCAGCGCGAGCTCTGCCGGCTAAAGTAAACGCAGACTGCGAGGGCTTAAACGGAGCAGTGCTCGTAATGTCGAGAGAAAAAAAGAAAGACAGCTGTGAAACATAACCAGCTTTGTCTTTCTGTAGGAAACACACTTTAGATCTTTTTTTTAGTTATTGCGTCTATAACTGAAAGTGTGTCAGGAAAATCGAAAACAAAACCAACTGAAGCGCGCTCATTTCTGGCGCCCCACTGGATATTCAGCGCCCTAAGCATTTGCCTATGGTGCCTATGCCATGGGCCGGCCCTGAGTTGGCCGGTGTTGTAAATAACGGCGCTAACCTCCCTCGCGACAGAGCGCATAGGAGATAAATGACGTCACGACATAATAACCGGTTATGGTTATTACTGAATCGATACCGAATTGTCCGCGTCTGCATCGCGGTGCACCGAAAAAACAATTAATTTTGACACCCCTAGTATACACATATATATGTATATTTTGTATGTTGTGTCTATGTCTGTTTTACATATTTCTCATCTCTTTCAGGGTCACCCAGGAACCCCGGGAGAAGGCGGCCCACCAGGACCACCAGGCAGTTCAGTGAGTCTGTTTGAGATATTTTTGAGGTCAAAGGGAAGCTAACGGTACCTGCTGTGGTCAGATGAGTGTGCTGTCCGTCAGCTGTCAGACACCTCCTGCATCTACTGCTCTGTGCGGCAGACAAAGCAAACAGAGCGAGAGACAGGAGTCAGTCATCAACCCCATAGTGTGTGTTTAATGGCGGACGTAATCTTTTTTATTACAGGGCTCACCGGGATCACGTGGACCCATCGGCATAAGAGGACCTAAAGGAAGACGGGTAAGACATCTGGGCATAATAAGTGCAGAAGTATGTGTGTGTGTGTGTGTGTGTGTGTGTGTGTGTGTGTGTGTGAGCGTATGCTTGTATGCCTGTGTGTCTGTGCATACAGTATGCATATCTGTGCCTGCGCATGTGTGTGCATGCGTGTCTGTGCGTACGTGTGTGAGTCTGTGCATGTCTGTGCGTACGTATCTGTGTGCATGCATGCGTGTGTGAGTGTATACGTGTGTGTGTGTGTCTGTGTGTCTGTGTATGTGCGAGCGTGTGTATCTGTGTTTGCTTGTACGTATGCATGTGTGTGCGTACGTATCTATGTGTGTGCATTTATGTGTGCATGTGCGTGTGTGCGTACGTACCTGTGCATGCATGTGCGTGCGTATATGTGCATGTGTGGGTACGTCGTGTCTGGGTGCACGCTTTTCTGCGTGTGCGTATCTGTGCGTGTGTGTCTGAGTGTGTGGTTGCGTGTCTGTGCATGTGTATCTGTGCGTGCATGTCTAGGTGTGTGGTTGTGTGTCTGTGTCTGTGTATCTGTGCGTGCAGATCTTTGCGTATGTGGGGGTGTGCATATCTGCGTGTGTGCGTATTTCCACATGTCTGCGTGCGTGTCTTTATGCATGTGCATTTGTGCGTATCTGTGCGTGTGCGTCTAGGTGAGTACGTATCTGTGCGTGCATATCTGCGTTCGTGACTGCGTGTGCGGGTGCAAGTGTGTCTGTGCGTGCATGTCTGCGGGTGTGGATGCGTGTCTGCATGTGTTTCTGTGTATGCGCACAAATGCACACACGCACAAATGCATATCTGTGGGTGTGTGCGTGTTTGTGTGTGTGCGTAAAAGTGGGTGTGTGCGTGTCTGTGCGTGCACGTCTATGTGTAAACATATGTCTGTGTGTAAGCGTCTGTGCGTAAGCATGCATGTCCATGCGTTTGTGTCTGTGCATAAATGTGGGTATGTGCGTGTCTGCGTGTGCGTGCCTGTGTGCATGTGTGTGTGTATGTGTGCATGCGTATTTGTGGGTGTATGTGTATCTGTGCGTGTATGTCTGTGTGTGTATGTGTCTGTGCGTGTGTATCTGTGCGCATGAGTGTCTTCGTCTGTTTGCATGCTTGTACTGTATGTCTGTGCGTGCGTGTGTGTGTGTGTCATTTATCTTTTATCTGAAGTAAAACAGCACAACAACTGAAGCAGGTTATCACACATGTCCTCAATATAGTTACTTTAATCGCTGGATTAGTTAGTTATCCTATAGTTTTTCTTAGTTAATTCATTATAATGGAAAGATACATTACTAAAGTAGCTGTGAATGACAATAAAGCTCGACTTGACTTGTACTTGACTTA